AAAAAATGAAAATTTTATAAATTCAAAAATAAAAAGATTAAAAAATAAATTGAAAGTTCCTAGAAAAATAAAATTCTGACTAATTTTGCAGCGGGAAAAAAACATTTTTAGATTCACTAATTTTAAAATGTATATACCATTTGATAATATATTAATGTAAATTTGTTCTATTTTATTGAATAATCAAAATTATGGAATAAAATGTTGTTAAATAGTTTCTCCAAATTTCAAACAAAACATATTTTCTATTTTTTTATTTTGAGAAACAGATTCTCAGCAGGACAAATTAAACACCTTTTTTTTTTTTTTTTAATAATCTTAAAACAGGCTTTCAAAGAAAAAAATTGAGACTTCGAAAGAGCCCATGTTTATTCAATCTAAATATTCTTCCGAACATGAAAGGAGAAAGTGCATTGGAAAAATAAGTGTTAGCATGTTTCCCCTTGTGAACCACCAAAAACATGAGTGCTATCAATGTTGAGAAAGTGTATTGTCGTATATTGTTGCCAAGCTAACATCTTCATGGATTGTGATGGATCTGCCAAGTTGGTTGCTTTTATAGACAGACTTGGCCACTCTGGAGGCTAAGGTGGTATTCTTCACGGTGACCGAGCTCTCTGCCTTGTCATGAGGCTGGGTTGAGCTCTTCAATCTGATGTCAAGTGCCTTACTAGGTCAACTTCTCGTCAGCGTCGAACTCTCCACACTTGCTACTAGTTGTTTCACTTGACGCCTCTCTTATCTTGGGCTGTATGAGCTTGACCAAAACATCCTAGTCTGAGCTCTTTGCCCGTGCTGAGGCTCACCACTGGTACTTCAACATGGTCAGCTTCTTGACTTTCTTTTGCCACGTTGGCTAGGTGGGTCCTCGAGTGCCACGATAACAACAGTTTAGGATCACTTCGATAAAGACCAATTGCACTCAACAAAATTTTGAACTTGACTTTAACCGCCTGATAGTTCAGTGAACTGCCTGCATAAAACAAAAATGAAAAACAAAACGGAAAAGGCACGTGCAACAAACGAAAAGCAAAGTGCAGTGAAGTTATCCACATTTATCCAAACTGGTTTACATTCAATTACATAAGTTAGAAATATAATTCTATGATTTGAAAAGTGTTTGAAAAAAATGGAGAATCTCTACATAAATCTTTGGCTATTATTATATTGTGAGATGGATATTGTATGGCAACTGTGTTAATGCAGAACGCAAAGAAACTAGCCAATGGCATCATGCTACATAAAGGGACATTAATGCGGCTGACATGACGAGAAGAAATAGTCACGCTTGATGTTTCAACCTAACCGCCTGATAGTTCAGTGAACTGCCTGCATAAAACAAAAATGAAAAACAAAACGGAAAAGGCACCTGCAACAAACGAAAAGCAAAGTGCAGTGAAGTTATCCACATTAATCCAAACTGGTTTACATTCAATTACATAAGTTAGAAATATAATTCTATGATTTGAAAAGTGTTTGAAAAAAACGGAGAATCTCTACATAAATCTTTGGCTATTATTATATTGTGAGATGGATATTGTATGGCAACTGTGTTAATGCAGAACGCAAAGAAACTAGCCAATGGCATCATGCTACATAAAGGGACATTAATGCGGCTGACATGACGAGAAGAAATAGTCACGCTTGATGTTTCAACAATGTCCGAGCTCCTTGATCAAAACAACATAGTAAGACCACCATTAGATCAGGTGGAGATAGCCATAAGCCGCCACATCAAAGACGTTATCTCGATAGCACACACAATTCTATTTTAAAGCCCCGTACACGATGCCCATAACTTTCATATTGGTATTACCACAAACAAATGCAAGAATGTGATATTATATCAATCCAATACAGAAAGCCAAATTCTTGTGCTTCCAGCTAAAATGATCGATAATGGGCTTCACAATCTGAAATGACGAGGAAGACGGCCACATCTACTCTGTAGGCTCAAAATCTCCTTTGCAAAGCCTTGATTACCAGTTAGCAGAAGTCCATTTAGAACCCGATTGAAGGTAAATTTCCGAGGCAAGAATCCTCTGTCAACCATTTCTATCAACAACTTACCTGCAACCAACAAATCATCTGATCGTTTCCTCACGAACATCACACTGATCAAGATATTGTAAGTATCCAAGTTGGGCAAACAACTCCCACCAGTCATCCTCTCAAACATCGCCAAAGCCTTCTCAATTTCTCCATCGTCACAATAGTACCTAATGACAACATTATATGTTTGAACAATTGGCTTACAGTTGTCATCTTTCATTTTATCCATATATTCAATTGCCCTATCCATATTCCCTGCATGACACAATCCTCTAATAACCACATTATACGTCGTCACGTTTGGGGTGTAACCCTTCCTCAGCATTTCTTCAAACACTATGATGGCATTTTCCACATTATCTTTCTTACACAAAACTTGAATCAAGGCATTGAAAGTTGCCACCGAGGGGAGCACTCCGGCCCCAATCATCTCATCAAACACTTTCCGAGCCTTCTCAACTTCCCCAACGACACCAAGCCCGTGAACCACTGTAGTATAAGTCACGACATCAATGCCAACCTTTCTCCTCTTCATTTGCAAGAAAAATCCCCATGCTTCTTCTATTTGCCCCGCTCTAAAATACCCCTTGAGCATTATGTTATACGTCGTTAGTGTAGGTACCAAACCTCTCTCTACCATTTCTTTCAAAACTTCCAATGCTCTCGGTGTTTGCTTCTTCAAGCAAAACCCATTAGCAATTATATTATAACTAACTGTGTCAGCTCTAAACCTACCCCGAAAAATATTGAACAGCTTATAAGCCATCTCAGCTCGCTTTGATTTGCATAAAACATCAAGAAATGCATTGAATGAATTCAAATTCTGTGAGCAACCATGTTCGTGCATCGATAAAAATACTTTAACAGCCTTATCAGCCTTCCCAGAAGAGACATATCTTTCGGCAATAATCGCAAATGTTTTCGGTGACGGGCCAAGTTTCCGGGATCTCATACGGGCCACGAGAGCCCAGACGGTCTTGTAGTCTCGCAGCCGAGCCGCGATGTCAATGGCGTGGTCGAAACCAGTAGCGGAGTGCGCGTAGAAAGGGTGAGTGTCTAATATGTTGAAAAATTGGAGGGCTTTGGGGCCGTGGTTCCAGAGGCGTTTGAGAACTGTGTGGACTAAATGGGGAGTCCAATTGGTAAGGGTGTGGAGGTTTCGGGTTATAGTTTCTGAATTGTCCGTTTTGAGGATTAATTTGGCGATGGCGGTGGGTTCAGGATGCGGCGGCGGAGCGGTGGCGGAGTGGTGGAGGGAGGACCGTTTTGGATGAGCTTTGAGGGAAGGGACGGCGGTTTGAGAAATATTTTCCCGCAGGCTCAACATTTTGACCCGTATTTGGCATACCGTTGGCTTTAGTACTTTAAATGAGAAAAAAAAATGATAAATAAAAATTGATCACTAAACTTTATCCCGAGTCAAAGTAGGACAGTGCCTATGAAGTCCGTAAATGGCCACACTAGGAATTGGAACGATTAGTCCTAGCTGCATTATGCACTTCAATTGATATAATGAAGAGTCTTGATCTTGACGATCACTTGGAAAAGATTTTTTTCTCGCCAATACTGACCAGGAGCTCCGGATACTTACTTAATCCTTGGCAGAGTATTTTTACGAGGAATTTTCAGTTTTAGCAATTACATCACCCAGATTGACAAATCATAATGCAGTTTGAGGGAATTTGATTGAGTTGAAGATATATTTGAGGATTTTCTGAAAAATGACCATTATGGGATCGAAGACGTGGATATGGTATTCCAACGTCCTCTATGCAAAGGAGTGCTTCTTTGCCTTAAGTTATATTGCACACAACATTTTTCTCTGATAAGTACAGACTTGAGTCTTGTTGCATTGTTGGGAACTAGAAGCAGCCCGAAAAGTCGTTTATGTATTTCAACAGGGCACTAAATTGAATAAAAATTATTCATCAGCTTGGACTCTTATGGGTCACAAGTCCATGGAGATAAAGAACACGTCAGTAGCAGTGGATGCTTATCAGAAGGCTGTAGATATAAATCCATGTGATTATTGAGCTTGGTATGGGTTAGGACAAGCATATGAAATGACCGGAATGCCTTTTAATGGTTCCCAGTTACGGATTGCCATGGCTTGTTATTAAAGCTAACAACTTCATGTGCTCAAGGAGGTGACCAAGTGTTACAAAATGGCAGCAAATTGTAATGACAGGAATTGATCTACATCATCTGGCAAAACTCCATTGAGAACTTGGTCCAAATGAAGAGGCCACGTTTTATTACAAGAAGGATTTAGACAGGATGGATGCTTTGATTTAAAAGGACCAAACATGGTTGGAGCTTTAACGTTTCTTACCCCTACACCGTAAATCTATGAAGAGATTTCAGGAAGCCGAGGTGTACTGTAATAGTCTTCTTGACTACACCAGCCCACTAAGTCATCTTATATCATTTCGTATAATTTACATGTAGAGTTGATAGCACTGATGCATTATGACGTATATTTGCAACATCAAGAGTCAAGGTTGGAATATCCCTCTATCAGAAGGAAACCCTGTTATAACAAGGTCAGATATCTTCTTAGACGTGATGATTTCCGATCATTTTCCAACCTAAAATTTTAGTCCGTATTCTTTTTGTATAAGAAAGAATATAGGATGGTTGATAGACAACAACATTCATTTTGGTTCTTATTGTTGAGGTGTGATTCAATAATCACAAGAATGTATATGCATTGCACCACAACAAAATTCTGAAACAAAAAGGCAAATTTCATTGCACAATTCTGTATACACAACACAACACAACTCAACTAAACCTGTTTAGATAAAAGAACAAGCAAACCCTGTGGGCCGACAAGAATTTCATTGAGGAAACTGATTAATCCAAACCAAACCACAGGAGTAACATCAACACCACCGAGGGGAGGAATCACCTTCCGAGTTTGAACTAGAAATGGCTCTGTTGGTGCATATGCAATCACATATGGGATTTTTTCAACCGGAAGTTTTGGGTACCAGGACATCACTATTCTCAGTATGAACAGAAACCCAAATGCAGACAGAAATGGCCCCAAAACCCCAATTGCCAGTTTAGCTGTAGCCGGATCCAAATCCATCAGCACCAAATTTTCCGTAAGTTCCGTTGCAGAATGTGAAATTGAAGTTGAAATTTCGAGAATTTCATGCCCGGAACTCGAAGGGATTGTGGCATATGAAACTGGTACTCTTAAACAACAATAAGCTGTAACTTTATGTTGCTTAATTCCTCTGAACTCCCGGTTGAAGTTTTTTGGGCCGGAATCAATTCTGGCCGTAGAAGAAAGAGGAGAAGATAACGACCTTATCCCAGTCAATTTCGACGGACAGGATACGCCGAGACCAGTGGTAGCAGTAATACCAGCCATTGATTTCTCTCTCTGGGATGGCTTTTGCTGTGTGGCTTTTCAAAATTTCTACTGGTTTATCTCTTTGAACTTAAAAGAGTTGATTGACGTTGAGCAGCTTGAGTGATTTGTATGTCCACAACTCCTGGTTGCTTCAATTAAATTTGTGCAAACGGGCCTCAAGTTTGTTTTGTAGCATTTATGTCGTTAACTTTCCAAAAGTTCATAACAATTTTTAGTGCTCGTTTGTGCCCATTATTTGTGAATAATATATTATAGAATAGTGATTGATATTGAAATACGGGTTTAAAAAAGAAAGAAAGATTTTTTATTTATTGTAATATTATTTTAATGAAAAATGTGTAGTTGAAAAAAAGTACAGTAAAAAAAATAATATAGTAGAATGTAAAAGAAAGAGAGACAAACAAAGCCTTAGTTTAGTCAATATTCTCATTAGAAAATCAAAGTTAAACTGAAAGACAGTTATACTTGATGCTATCAAAAATCGTACCTGTTGATTTTCCGAGTTTGATGATTCGGGTTGATCACGATAGTGTCTTCCGGTACCTGAAACAAAGGCAATGAGGTATGTTCTCGTCGCCCCTCCGATGCTTAAGTCAGAAAGGGAAATATATGCGTGAGGCTATGTGCTGAAGAACAATGAAAATGTACCTGAATAATGGCCCAAGGTCCTGTATTTATAGAGGTAGGTGGTGTGTTCATACTAGGATTTCGTAGTGCACCTATAGTAGGACAGCTTGATTTTGCAATCTAACATCAATGAGTCCTACGCAAGATAGGAGTTTGGATTGAGGTATAACTGTGATACCAATAGCGTTCTTTTGGGTATAGGAGACATGAATTGAGGATTTTTAGTCAGAATAAATTTCTCGTTGGATAAGGCGTTGTCGTAGGTCATAATTCCGAGGACATGTCGAATGATTGTTGAATAACTCTTCGGGCTAATAGTTCGGGCATATGGGGGATACCCGAGCACATATGTCCCGAGCATTTTGATACACATATCGACGAAATTGAGTCCTCGAGTCTATATACGTCGGGAACAAAACTTGGTTATATCAATACTCTTATTTTAATTACGATAAAAATCAACAAAAGAAAGAAAGAAATTGCTACTTGTCCATCCTGAATTGTTACCTGGGTTTTCAAAGTGATGAGAAGATGGAAAGATGAAAAAGAAGACCAAGCATGAGTGAAGTATAAAAGATTGAGGGTTGGAATGAAGCAATTGCTCGAAACCAGTGGTGGTATTTGGTATTGCGAACAAAGTTCGTTGACAATACAAGCATCTTTTTGTTATCTTTTAACAAATTAAATTGTTTGTCACAGTAACATTTTTCATCACACATTTACACAATAAAATATTCTACACACAAACCAATAAAATTCCTTTAAATTTAACCACACATTTGCTTAAAAATATCATTCAGAACTCTATGTTTTCTCCCATAATAGGAGACAAACAGGCTCTAAATCACCAATGATTAACTATAATTGGTGAATCACACACGACCAACCCGATGATAATGGATAGGTGCCTGGTGGTATGTAACAACAATGTAAATATTAAATTCATGTTATAGGTTCACCATGTGCAAATGTTTTGAAAACTTGGCCTTTTCGGAGATAAATAATTGAAAATGTTTGGAATTTTCAGAATTTGATAGAACCATCAAAGCACCTAAACTACTAAATATAACTTTGGGATTCAATGCATGGAATTCGACAAAAAGAACCATCGATGCACTTAAACGGTAAACTATATGTTTGGAATTTACCGCAATAAGAAAAAAGTTTGAAGATGATAATGCAACTGCTTCCATAGGTTAGGAATAATTGTTGCAATGTTTTAGTCACACATTTGTCCTTCGTCGTGCAATATCTCCTCCGATGACGATTTCTCCTCGCGGCCATTACCCCTCGAATACCAAATATTTACGTCCCACCCATGTATACCTAAGGGGAAAATGACGAAATAGAAGGGTAAAATTGTCACTCACTCCTCTATATATAGTGCGGCAGTAGAGACGAACCACGTTTTTTGTATAGTCCAAAGGCGAACGAACGAATCAGAGGAATTTTCGTTGCCCACTCTCTCTCTAAAATACACACACTCTCTCTATATCTATCGCTTTCTCTCTCCAAATACATCGACGATCAAATTAGGGTTTTCAATTTGTTTCGACTTCACGCAGTAATGATTTCCGATTCGATCGCCAACGCTTCCATCTCCATGGCCTCCTCTAACCCAAAAGATTTCGCCAAGAAAAAGAAGGTATTTATGTGTTTCTTGATATTTTTATGTTTTTACACATATATTGTGTATACGTTTGTTTTCTTTTTAATTGTGCACTTATATACCTTTTCATATTTTTATTTTTACTTGTATAAATTCTCAAGATTTTTAATTAAGACTTGTATAAATATCCATATTTTCAATTTTCATAGTCTTGAATGTAGTATTGATTCTCAATGCTTTTCGTTGAAGTTGATTTTCCCTTCTAGCAATTTCCACACTGTTTCTTTGTTAATTTTCAGGGTAATTGGGTGGAATTTGCTGATTTTCAATGTTTTTGAGTTTATATAATTTCTTTTTAATTGTTTCTTTGGGGGGATTTTAGGCGAATCGATCAGCCAAATTGAAGCAGTGCAAGCTTGATGCTCGCCGCGAGCAGTGGCTTTCTCAAGGTTAGTCAAAGATCTGTGTTCTGTAGCATGCATTCACGTCATATGTGTACATACTCATCTTTACTTATATAGTGAAGAATAAGGGTAACTGTAAGGAGGAATCAAATGATGGCGGGATACATGGAGGATCATCGGTGAAATTGGGGAACAAGAGCATACTTGCCATAGAGAAATTGGAGATTAAGCCGAGAGATGTGCAGGAGAATTATGGAGATGGATTGCCACTGCATCATTACAGTGATTCCGAGTCATCGCCATCCACTAGCCACAACAGTAGCGTCTTGGGCATTATTGATTCCAGAGCCAATTTTACAGGGAGCAGCAGCCAAAGCAGTAGTGCTAGCAGCAACGGATGTTGTTCTGGAAGTATGAGTGAGGAAGGTGAAGGGGATGATGATGGCTGCTTGGATGATTGGGAGGCTGTGGCTGATGCCTTGGCTGAAACCGATGACAAGAAGCAACAGCATAACACCGACTCAGGATTGGATTCATTAACTTCGGAGAAAGATTTAAATGCTTCCCAGTCAGATTCCCAATCGATGGTAACAAACCAATTGGCCTTTGGGCTTGATGTTTCAAAGCCGAAGCTGGAGAATCAGAGAATGGTTGCAGAAGGGGCTCTGGTAAATTGCCAGGCATGGAGGCCTGATGATGCCTGTCGTCCTCAAACCCTGCCCAACTTGTCTAAGCAGTATAGTTTCCCAATGAATTCAGGGAGACATTTTGATTGTGGAGGCTCTGTTTGGGCATGTAGGAATGTTGTGCCTGTCCCCACATCGTGCCCAATATGCTATGAGGATTTTGACTTCACGGACTCGAGTTTTCTCCCTTGTTCATGTGGCTTCCGGCTTTGCCTTTTCTGTCACAAGAGGATTCTTGAGGAGGATGGGCGCTGTCCAGGTTGCAGGAAGCAGTATGACTCTGAAACTGTTGATGGAGAGGCAACACTGGATGGAGGCAGCTTGGCATTTCGGTTGGCCCGTTCTCGTAGCATGATCACACGGTCTTAGGAAGAGTCTTTGTTTCCCTTGAACGTATATGTTTGGTCCATCTTTTTCTCAGTGTTCCTTTTGTGTGTTCTTGTTGCGAGACTCTAGTTATCGCGAGACTCTAGTTATCATAGTCTTATATGTTGGCATAGAAGGGAGTTTTTGAAGCACAGATCTAGTACTCTAATGATTTTGGTCCATATATTTGTATGGTGCGTGTGCTGGAAGACTTTGTTATGTGAATAGATGAGGTGGTATAGAAATTGAATACGCCAAGTTTGGTGAAACATGACTGTTGTATCTTGATGAATTTAGTTTGTTCCCTTGAGATGAAGTACAAATTCATAATGTGAAGGAATTTCTTAAAAGTTCTATCATTCTTCTTTCGACATATTCTCTACTATATGCGTGTTCTTATCTTTTTCTTGTGCTTTATGTTAGCCATACATATATATGATTGAAGGCAAAATTTCCTGAGCTTCTCAAGTTTTACATGATGATATTTAAAATTCGATACTTCTAGATGTTTGTCGTGAAGATTTGGAAGACTAAGACACAGCTTTAATTATTAAAGAAGTTTAGTTTTCGATTTATAACTTGAAATTTTTTAAATTATGATCAAGATGCTTATGATTCAAGTTATTCATTTTTTAATTTTGTTTCTATGAAGCAGGAATCAACAGTCATCATCTTTCAGCTAGTTTGTACCGACTTGTGGAGAAGGGGTAAAAATAGTAGATTGTGGTTAATGTTTGCATTGTAGTTCTTCATTTAATTTTTCTTTTTTTTTTTTTTTTCAGTTTCCTCCTTTGCATTTGTACTGCCTTGATTTTCGGCTTCAAGATGGTTATATGCCAGAGCACTGATACCGTGGATTAGTGTTAGTTGCCTGGTGTCTGGTTTATTTGATTTGTGAAAACCTCAGTGAACCTGAGTGTTTTGAACAAGGACTATGCAGCCATGTGAGTTACAATTAATTATATTATGAAGCAAATCAAATAGTGGTGTTCGAAGAAAAGGATGTGAAAGTAACCATTTTCTAGGCATGGGATGCCAGGGTAACTAAATGAAGATTAGCAAGCTTTAGAAGATGGTGTAAGATGTTCTTGTTATCTAATTCTTAAACTCCTTGATTATTTACATTTTGGCAACTGTCCGCAGAAACATTTTGACCCAGGATCTTGCTATTTAAAATGGAGTTAGTAATTTCATGCCCAAGCTCTTGAGGAGTAAAAGTTGTGGGATGAGAAGGAAAGAAATAATAGATTAGAAAACGGAGCTGTAGGTGGAGAAGGAAAGAATTGTGAAAATACGTGGAGAAGTGTAGATGACCAAAAACATTTCATCCTTCATGGAATTAGTAATGTCACACTTGTGCTGTTAGTACGACATTGTTATCGTGTGCAATTGAATATGCGTTGCATTGGAGGTTATATGAAAGGTCCTTGTATTAGTGTTTGAAAGACAGAGACATTGGGCAAAGCATTTCATCCTTCCTGAAGTGGACCCGCCTTTACATGTCTATTATTTGTAAGAAAATGAAATATACTATTTATACATAACCATATTGACAAATTCCAAATATGGATACGTATAGGAAACAACTGAACTAAGGACAGGTGTTAAAAATATTGATGAGAACAAAATATATCTAAAAATGTTGATAAAACATGCTTGTTTCATAATGTCATAAAGTCTGCCATTTTGTAAGCTTGTTATTTTACTAGAGAGGGTGCACTTTCAATTTGACATGGCCATCAATGTTACTTAAGCCTTATTCCTATGATGTCAATGGAGCAAATGCTTAGCTAGGAAACATGATGAACTAGCTTCTACAGTATGTGTCACTTCTTCAGGCATGTGCACTAGCAGATTTTCATCTTCTAATAGCTTAGGGCATTTTGGACTGCCTTGATCTTAAGCGAGCAAGGACTTGGCCTTTCTCAATATAGCTGAGACTAAGAAGGGTTTATTCAATTGAGACTTTTAATGACTTTTTGGGATTCAAAAAGTTTAGGGGTATTCAATGTAAATTTTTTAAGACTCTATGAAAGTATCGATGTATTCAATTGAGGTTTTTATAGACTTTTAAGAAATCTATAAAAATTACGGTGTATTTAATTGAGACTTTTTAGAAGTCTCTATAAGTGTTGTGGTATTTAAATTTTAATGACTTTTAGAAACTTTTATAAAAGTTTTTGGAGTACTAACTTTTAAGTAGAAAGTACTCATATAAAATTTCAAAATTTGTCTCTCATTAATCACGAGATTTCTGGAGACTTTCACAAATTTATTTATTTATTTATTTTTTCCTTCTATGAACATTAAAGTTATGATTAAACTTTATCTTTTTCCATTGATTATGTTTATTTTCATTTATCTTTCTATCTCTTATGGTTTATTTCTATTTTCCATAAAAAAATTAAATTGAATTCTTGTAACTTTTTCCCCCCTTTTTCATTCTTTTTTTTTTTTTTGAAAAATATCTATTTTTTTCATTAAATTATAAAATTTTATATGAAAATTTGTAATTAAATTTAAATATATTGATTTTATTTATTTTTAAAAGTATACTATATTACTAATATTGAATATTAAATTTATTGTTTATTATATATATGTATAATTTTGGTTATTATTTATTTAATTAAGGTTTTAAATTTTTATTCTTTAATTTTTTTTTATTATTTTTTTATTATATGTGATGAAGAAGGGGAAGGAAAATGAGAATTGTGGGAACAACACCTTGTATATGAGAATTTCAAACCATTGTACTAGATCCACAGGAATTCTATTTCAAATAAAAGTTGTCAAGAGTCTTTGGAATTCTATAAAAGTCTATAAAAATTTTAAAATAAAAGTTAATAGAAGTCTATGACTTTTACTAATTCCATATAAATCTATAAAAGATCCAAGAAATCCATAGAAGTCATCACTTAAAAAAGTCTTATCAAAGTCTTCAAAAGTCCTAATTGAATATACCCTCCCCGAAGGTGTTCTTATATTTTTCATTTTAGACAACATTTCATATTCCATTTACTTTACCTTTATTCTGCGGGTCATAAAATGTTTTTACATTTTTTTGGACAATTATCCAATCTACTATTAACAAAAAACTATCCAAACCAATAAAACTAAACTTTTATGATAGTTAGATGAAACGTGATAAATATGATATTATAAATTGAAGGATCCATGCCATTGAAAATCTGTGTGTGTGTGAGGGGTGTGAGAGAGAGCCCTGTACTCATAATCACAAGTTGAAATAGTTCCAAGTGTAGTCCTTTTACTTCCTAATTTCATTGACATTTATTACTTTGTAGGCTACCTTTACTGCAACTACTCTGGCCTTGTTATGGTTACCTAGTGAATCGTCAAGATAAGAGGAAAATGGAGGAACTTAGCTACATAGCTTGTACTTGCCTTAAACCCCGGCAGACTGCTTAAGATTTTGTTTATTCAACTCACTGTATGACAGATATATATAATGTGTTGCGGTATAGAGCTACCTTGTTTCTTTTTCAGTTGTTCAGAAGCTAAATGCCACATTGTTTGACATAGTAGCGTGTGTATGTGTTTCTTATTTAAGTTAAACCAAGTGATTTGGATGGAACTGTGTTGGTAGGATTTCAGTAAGTTTGGCAGTATTTTTGCTGGACTTAAATGATCGTCAATTCATCATGGGCATCGAGGTGTACTTCATCCAGGTTGCATTATCTTATACTTTTTTTTTTTTAATAATCATTTGATTGAATGGACTAACAATGACCAGTATAAGACCAGCGATATATGAACCGTTTTGTTTGGGAGGATTGCTTGTCACTCTGCAATTATTTTCCTAAAGTTTCCAACAGATTGTCACCGACTTGGCATTGTGAAATATTAAATTTATATTAGCTTAAAATAATGTCTCATTTTTGGACTATTTTGACCAAAGTAGTGAAATACGTCCATTTATACTCGACATTGGTCTTTTTGTTTGGAGTTATGGTGGAGGCTATATTGGGCTCTAGTGGAGTTTAGCTTGCATCTTATGGTGAGTCATTCTTCTCAAATGATTTTGGGCTATGGTGTTAGAAAAGGAGGAAAAATCTAATAGTGGTTTTATAGTTGTCATTCCTTTAGTGCTTTGACAGCAAGACAAGAACTTTTCTGCAACGATCTTCCGCCTACTGCTCATGGGATTGGTGGTTTTTATGTTATCTTTATGTTTTTATTGGAGTTCAATTCTTGTTTTTTGCTTATGTATAGAATCTCTCGTCCTCAAATGATATGCGTTCTTAGGAGAATTCGAGAAGCAAAAGGTGTAATTTAGAATTTGTCATGTCTATGAGAGCGGTCCCCTTGCGAATTTTCTTTCATGCATTTATGAGAATGTTACTTCATTGCCTTTATCAATAAAAACACGAAGCTGAAAATTGCCTTCTGTTTTAAGCTTTTCAGAGTCCTAACTATGTCCCTCCCCTCCTCCCACTTTTCCTTCCCTCCTTCTAGGCTTGACAGTTCAGTTTTATTGTTTTTGTACATTTAGCTAAGTCGTGGGTATCATACAAATTTGTTGAATGTAGGTTTTGCGGTAACTTGAGTTATCAAATTTTATTCACCGTCCTGTGCTTTTTTATATGCATATTAGGGGCTATGCTGAGTTTGTTAGAATTATTCCGATGTCCTGAAGTACTGAATTGCTAGTGGAGTTGGAGATTCCTTGAAATTTAGGAAGTGATTATTAATTGGTTCTTTGCAGAGCCTTTGAAGTCCTAATTGCATTGTTTTATGCTGTCTAATCGAAGAATTGATGCCCAAGGGATTTGGCAGTGTATTTTAGTTAGTTCTTGACTTTCAGAAAGTTAGACCAGCACTAAGCTTTTGAAAATAGTTTCTTTGATTGAGTCTTAGCCTGTGCAATTCTTTTTCCATGCGATGAGCCATCTGAATTGAATCCCATTATTATTATTTTTTTTAATTTTTATTTATTATTTTTTTTCTTCAGTAACAGGAATGGTTAGAACTTGAATTTTTCATCGAAGCTTGTGGGAGAAGATCTCCACACTGTGTCCTCCAACATTTATGTTAAAAACTTCTTTTGCCTGTAATTGCATTTTGAGGACATCAGGTTCCCATTTAACCTAGATGACAACAGGCTACATAGTACAATGTCATTGTCGTGGCAAAAATTGAATCAGAAGTTTCGTGTGTGCATGCTCATCTTCAATCTTTTATGTCTTCTCAGATCTGATTTTGTTCTATTAATAGTTGGATTCACAATGCTAATGGATCTTTTCATCATATTGTGCTATCCAAATAATCCATGTCGGAACCTAGGAACTCACTGTAACTGGTTTTTGGTGGAGATGATGGATCTTGTAGGATTCTGAAAACGATTTTTCATTTTCTTCCGGAAGCATATGATTAAGCATTCATTCCTCACATTCTGTGATTATGAAGAAGGAAAATGCCCAATGTACAGGGCATTTTCTCACAGAGCTTTTACAGGAAAGACACATGGGGGTGGGCCCCATGTGAATATTTTATTGAGGTGTGTGTATTCTCTGAAGTACCTGTATGTTTTTCCTCTGTAAGTGTAGCACAATTCTATGAAGAAATTGCAGATCTATTCACTTTATCATTTACAGAAGATGGATATGGTTTATTTTATGGGGTTTTCCTGTTCTGTTGATTCCTTGGAACTAGTTGGACGTAATAATTCACTTGTTGCACCATTCGTGTTTTACAATTGGTTGCTGCTGCACGAATTGGTGTTTCTTCAATCTTATTGATTAGAGAAAACTATTGCATTTCATTCTCCTGACGTTTATATTTCAAACTATGCCATATACTCTATATACATGGCCCGCAGACATAAAATGAGTTCCACTGTAGAATGCATCACGCTGGGAATAGTACTTTGACACAGGATAAGTGTCATGAATTGTTGTGGACTGCTTGGTGAAGAAAACCTGTTTAAATTGGTATAATAAGAGAGTATAGGAAAACTTACGACTGTTTCAAATGTTGTAAGTTCTCTTTCACGGCGTTCATTTTGGGTTCCTTGTATTTGCCTTTCTAAAATTGCCTGTCCTCTCATTGAGCGTATAAGGAGAGGTTATTTTTCTGGAGTTTTGCATTACTATCTGGTCCAGAGTTTCTCTGTCTAATACTTATGTGAAGTATGAGAGAATATGAATCACAATAATCAAGTAAGTTTATGTTAAAATATGAATCCATGCATGGGAGGGAGAAGGGACAACATATATAATAATATGATGACACAGATTTTATCTGCTGGTTGTTCATGACTAAACATTATGTCTTGATTTAAGAAGTATATTTCTGTTTAAATGCTCCATCTGACCATTGTATAATCTCTAATTGTCGTCAGATTAAGTGCAGGAAATAAACATACCAATTATGTATCTATTGATGGCTTTCCCCTGCCTTTTGTTGTGTTTTTCCTATTTAGTATGTCGTCGAATCAACTTCACCAAACATGTCATAGTTACGTCCTTCGTTCATTGTTTCACCTGCCTCTTATTTGGCTTTTCATACAGATAAAACGGAGACTACAGAAGACAGATTCATGTGCAAGCAACCTGCATGAACCCTTACCTTAGCACGGCATTGAGGATGTCTGCTGAGAAACTGAAAGAATTAGAGGAAAGAAAATTTCTTTTTGTCAATGTTCGGCTAAAAGCTTTAAAAGAAAGGTAAAAGTGACTTTCATTTTCGAATGTGTTTGAATTAAAAGTGGCCCGTGTTCAAGGAAGGCCCAAAACTTTTAAGAATTTTTACGTTTTTGCAACTTTTTTCTTTTTACTAAATAATATTAAAAACTGTTAAATCCAATGTCAACTCTCTTTATTATTATTATTATTATTATTATTATTATTATTATTATTATTATTATTATTATTATTATTATCATTATCATCAACTTATCAAAAAAGCAATTCTCGAAAGCATGCAATTTATATTTGTCTCTGCAGTTCTAAATTTCCAGAAAATCAAATCACCATTTATGAGCCCTTTCGTGCATTCTCATGGAGAACAAATAAAGTGATTTAATCTACTATATTTTCTTGTAACAAGTTCAAGACCAAATCTGCTCTTATAAAGAGGAAAACAAAATTCATTTTTGCATTACCTAATTGCGTTAAAGTTGTTCTAAAAATATAAAATTTTCTCGTTTTTGTATACAATTGTATTGGCTAAAAATCAAGTTCTTCAATCTCTGTAAGAGAACTGTTTTATTTTATTATTATTATTATTTTTATTTGTTTTGACGTTTGACAGCTTTATTCCGGAATCTTGATGACTTCACTGTTAAATGCTTATGATAAGTGTTTTTTTTTTTTTTGGGTTGATTTGTTTTTGTTCATTTGAATTTCATGATTATTCTTTAAAAGTTCTTATGTTGATTTTATGAGATTTAAAATAAAATTTGCTGATTTTATCATTTGAACTTCGTTTTCTAAATGCAGATCAAGTTCATCAAAATGATGTATGTTCAAGATCCTTTTACATGTAGTCGTCGTGATCTTAATTTAACAGTTTGTAACGTTTGAAAAGTCTCACATAGATCGCTATAATATCGCTTGAAAGTTCGCAGGACGTAGTGATCATCAATTCAAATTTTAGTGTTACCAAGTTTACGTTTTAGTCAATTTAATACTTTGACCATACGTGTGGAATTGTACTAATCAAAGCAACCCATCAATTTAATTAAGTTTTAGATATTTAAACATACAATCAAATTTAAACTTATGTTTAAATGCCACAATTTGTATAAATTGGAAAGCAATAAATAACACAATATGATGACAGAAAAACCCAACGTAGGAAAAATTTCAAGGCCAAGCCAGTTACCTCCATAATCCATTATAGACAGTTTAGAAAATACATAGCAATTTCAAATTTTGTACCCACTAAGACCTGTTGTCATAGTCTCACAATCTACTGTCGTAGATATTTCTAGCTGCTAGACCTCCTAATTTACCTCTTGCAGTCTTCTGCTACCGTAGATACCTTTAGCTTCCTGCTAGACCTTGTGATCTACCTCCTATAACCCAATTAGCTATCTCCTACAACCTTCTAGTCTACGCTGAATGTTTCTCGAAGTGGAAGACCAAGAATCGCACGTTCTTGTGCTGGTAATTGAGCTTCAATCCACCTCTCCCAATCTCCAATGAGAGAGTCCGTCCTCAAAAGATTAAGGAAGCACAATGTATTGGATTATTGGACCTTTGATGTTTTCCAAAGCTTAGGTTGTCGGATCACAAGATTAATGTGGATGTTTCCGTTGATGAATTGCGTTCTTGGATCGCAAAGAAGATATGAAAGTGTTTATGTTTTGAAGCACAATGACCAACCTCCTCGAATTCACGTCCCAGAAAAAGTATTTATACTTGGGGGCAAATAGGTGTCATGGACCATTTAAAACTCTTAAAATCGCAACCTATGGACATCGCTTGAGTGATGTGTCAATGAAAAGCGAGCGACATGTCTTTCGCTCGAGTGAAACGAGGGCAAAAAGCCAGCGATGGACAATTTGTTATTTTTGCTTGAGCACTGGCTTGGCTAGCAGCTAGCGAGATTCTAGCAGATTTCTTCCCTTTTCAAAATTCGAACCCTAGCCTACCAACTATACATAATTTCATCCTAAGTCCTTGACTTTTACAACAATGTTCAATTAAGCTACTTGTGTTCACAGAATCGCCAATTACAATATAAAACCTAATGGTTAGCATTAAGTCATTGTATAGGATTATACAAAGTGTATATTTATTATTATCGTCTTCACTCAAAACGACGTGAAAATATTGAAAGACAACATAATTGTCAAATTGTTGTCACAAACTCGTCAAAGAAAAGGCTTTAAGATTTAGAGAGTAAATTATATTTTGTTGAGCTGAGTTAAACATTTATAAACTCAATCTATATAAATTCTCTTAATTATTCTTCAAAAGATGCACAAAATTTTCATTTAAGAATATGTTATTTGTATACAATGCGGTGTCTATATCGATTTTCATCCCCCTTACACGGCCCATTCGTTTAAGGCTCCCAAGTTCATTCATCTTTTGGTTGAATGCATCTTTTTGTTACTCAAGTGAAACAAGTCCCTCAACTTAAAAATGGTTTGGTGGACGCGTTTAGTCTATAAATCAAATTAGATTAAAATTAAAATTAAAATTTTTAGTTGATTTTGATTAAAAAAATTGATGAAATGTGTGATTGAAAAGTTATAAATCTCAAAAACTATGTGATTACAACAAATTGTGAACTTTGACTTATAATTTTTAATCGATATGAAACAGGGCAAACAAGGGCTAAGTGATGGATGTTGGCAGCTGTTCTCTCTTGACGCGGCTGGTCAGCTTGGGACGCGCAGGAGGACTTTGAAAAGTCTGGTCAATTACAGAGTTAATCGAAGAAAATATCAAAATTTTATACTTTCTTGTAATTTCAACGTCAAGAATTTGTCAATTATTATCAAAATTTTATTTTTTTTAAAGATTTTTAATAATTCTATTATCGATTCTAATTCAAGCTTTGATCATTAACTATTTACTATCTTTTATAAATTAACGTTGGAGCTCTTCAAAGTTCAAAATATTGGCAAAATGACGAGTCAAATATTGTAAAGCACATCCAATTTCAGCCACATGATTAATTGAAATAAAAATATGAATAAAGCGACAAGTGAATATGGTGGAAAATAGATTTGCAAAGATTTGTCTGTCTGTATGTATCGCTAGCCTCTTGTCTTCCCAAAAGTAGATACTCGATATCTATCTCTGTCTATATATCTTGCATATCTTTCATTTGATGGTAGAAGAAAATGGTCATGGATCAAGAAATGGGAAGGTATCCTTCTTCTTCTTCTTCTTCTTCATCAAGTGGTGCACCAAATCTGCACGTTCTTGCAGTGGATGATAGCCATGTTGATAGGAAGGTCATTGAGAAGTTGCTCAAGATTTCTTGCTGTAAAGGTATAGTCTTCATGTTATAAAGAACCCGAGCATATTAATATATCGTATATGTTGTAATCACTCCTCAAAACCGGAATTTAACGATGTGGGACGCAGTTAAAATAGAGTTTCGTGGCTGATTTGAATGGTGGTTTGCAGTGACTGCTGTGGAGAGTGGGAAGAGGGCTCTGCAATATCTGGGCTTGGATGGAGACAAAAGCCCCGTGGAATTTGATGTAAGAATTGGGTTTTTGCTTATGAAATTTTCTGGTTTATTTCGTTGGATTGATGAATGTGCTAAACATTCAAGTAGTTTGTTTGTTTATTGCTGATAGAGAAGTAGTGTGTAAAATTTCTTTTCATTTGAAATAATGAATCAAGTTTTGCATGAATTTTCAGGGATTGAAGGTTAATCTTATAATGACAGATTATTCTATGCCTGGGATGACTGGATATGAACTTCTTAAAGAGATTAAGGTTGGTGTTTTGGCTTATACTTCATAAGCAGTCTTTCTTACTTGGCATGATTGGTACTGCAAGATTAAAGAAAACAGAAGTGTGAGAGGATAGAGAAGTAGTGTGTAAAATTTCTTTTCATTTGAAATAATGAATCAAGTTTTGCATGAATTTTCAGGGATTGAAGGTTAATCTTATAATGACAGATTATTCTATGCCTGGGATGACTGGATATGAACTTCTTAAAGAGATTAAGGTTGGTGTTTTGGCTTATACTTCATAAGCAGTCTTTCTTACTTGGCATGATTGGTACTGCAAGATTAAAGAAAACAGAAGTGTGAGATATAATTTTCTATTTTTCTATTTAGTCATATATAACGATCCAGATGTATCGAAAGTGCTTCGTGCCAATTTTGATGATCTCTATTAGTAAAACTGAAATTGCATTTTTGCAATCAAAATCGATCCTAATTAATCGCTCTTCTTTGATGATTTGATGCTTTCAGATGAGTATGTTAAAATATTTATTTCACATTTGAGCAGGGCTCCTCAAGGTTAAGAGAAATACCAGTGGTGATAATGTCATCCGAAAATATTTTGGGTCGAATTGATAGGTATTTTCTAACCACATTCGCATATACTCTGGTTTTGCTTTTCACACGGATTAAGAAATCTTATTGTCAAAACTTTCCCTGTCTACCCTTATTTATATTTATACAATTTAGAGATCAAGTGGTGAAAAAAGGTTATAACTAGGCAAATAAATAAGGATATATTAATAAATGAACAAAGCAAAACATTCTTAATAAATAAATATGACCATATAATTGAGACAAGAAAATAAAAAAATGTAAGCTTATATAAATGAGACGGAGGGAGTATAATAAATGGATGAAACTATCGTTATCTGCATATATTCATTAACTTTTATGCATGTTTGTGCATTACAAACATATAAAGGATAGGATTTTAATGCATTTTCTTAATCAATATCTAGTGTTGTGTTTCGTGCCGTCCAGCATGCCATTTTAGTTTGTGTTTTTACCGTTGATCAGTATCAGATTCCAAGTGCATAAGAAAGTTGCACAAAAGCTACTGATTAGTTAAACTCCAGTCTTAAAGAAAAACGAGATAATAAGAAAAGATTGAAATACACGACGGTAGTTCTTGTAAAACATATCGAGGAACTTCAAGATTTTGGTTTGGACTTTGATAAATCTGTTCATCGACATGAAGTCATAAATTCCTTTCATCGTACAGGTGTATGGAGGAAGGTGCTGAAGAATTTCTTGTAAAGCCAGTTCAGCTATCTGATGTGAGAAGATTGACAGATTTCATACTACAAGGTGACGAGGATCGTCAAAAGGTAGGATCTTCTAAGAGAAAACTCTGGGACGTTCCACGATCATGGTTTACCACATCTTGCTCCTGATTTTCTATCATCGCCCAAAATCAAATTGTACCACAGCAATCTCTTTTGAATTGTCCATGATTGCGCATGGCATGATTTTTACACCAAAAAGAATGGACAGGTTACATATAGATTGGAAGTAAAGATGATAGTGGGACAATTGTTCTTTTGTTACATTTACCAGTAAAGACAAGATTTTCCTTTTCATGTCGTCTCTCTCGATCAGAGGCAACAAGAATATAGACCATCTCAATCTAAAAACTAACAGTGCTCTACAAGCTGGAACATTGACGGCGTGTTTGGTACACATGCATTGGACACTTCTATGAATAGAATTTTAACTTCTTTTTCTTCTTTCAACCCACCAACATTATATTATCAGTTGAAAGAAATTGGCAATAATTAGATCGGTACTTACAGATACAGCAATTCTTGAACCCTTGTACCATGCTTTGTTCTCTTTCCTTTCCTCCAAGAAATTTTGAACATCCTGCAGCAGAGCATAGAATAAACATAGATAAGCTTAGAATAGGCTCCAAATGTGTAAGGGGAGGAGTAGTCCCTTGTTCAAATTTCACAATTTCCTTACTTATTATAATTATTATTATTATTTTATTATTATTATTTTTTGTATCCTTGTTAGGAGGTAAAACCCAACATCTTCATGTACATTTCAATATCAATAAACAGGTAGTGGATAATGTCACCCCCACTACACTGTTGGGAAGGATCCTAAAAACCCTTATCCAATAGAAGTGGTTTAACTGAATAAATAAATAAATAATATTCCTGCAGTAGAGCAAGGACTTGAAAATAAAACAATATTAAGGAGTGAGATTTTCTTACGAATACTGAATAATTTACCTTTCCCATCCTGTCCCAATAACCTCGGCAAATTGCAACAAATACATGAGACTCTAAGATCGTATGAAGATGACTGATTGTATTTATGAGTTGGTCCCTCAAAGGTTGCATTCTGCCTTTAACATCAGAATCAGCCACAGCTTTCTTAGAATCCAGCAAAATTTTCTTCAATTTGGTACTTCCCTGTAATCTTGTCTGTGGCAAAAGATAAGAAAAAATCAACAAAATGTTTGAAAGCACAAACGAAATTGTAGAATAAACTTCATTTTCTGACGGGCGATCAAATTTCAGCTTTCTTCCTGTTGAGCATGACACAACATTATTTTCCTGTATACTATGCATCAATCAAAAGATACATTGAGTGCTTTTCTGTGGTGATGATCTAATGTACAAATAAATTTTGGGTAACAATATTATCAAACTCAAGATTATTAATGCAAGATGGTACTCACATTTTCTACAAGCTTTTCAACAACTGCTTGCAAATAATTCCGGAACTTTGATCTGAGCATCACGGTAATTTCACTAAGACGATCTCCAGGCGGAGCGTGACTTCTATCGGGGATACAGGAACCCCGTGCCTTCAATTTATGTTCGATTTTGGGACAAAGCACCTCAACCATTCTCTTCATAGAATTCAAAAGAATGCCAAGCTGAAATGAGCAAAAAATTCGGTTAAAAAAATGGATATGCACCAAAATTATTAGAAAAATCAAACATTTACTCACCTCATTAGGCACTACATAAGGGCACGATGATCTTTTAGTGAACTCTTGGACATATTTTAAAGCAGATTTCCTGGCTGTTGTCTTTTCCTTCAATGGTGCTAAGACATCTGCATATTGCTTTTCTAGGGCATCCAGAATTGCCTTCTCAATATCGGCAATGGCCTATTTCAAATAAAACAAATAATAGATCAACAGGTGAAAATGCAAGATGCCTCTTCAATAAATCTAACCGGTAAAACAGTGCCTAATAAATAATACTTAGTAGAGCAAATCACCATGTAAGTGTCATTTCTAAAAGGGCTACTTCTCCCTTTCCCATATGTTCAAATTAATTTGGAACTTAAACTCAAACCAGAGGTAATAATTGTCTGATATAAGTCTTAAAGTTCGTAACAACAATTGTTGGCAAGAGCAAATGAATAATACATATCAACAAATAAGTGAACACCGACCATGCATGATATCTTCCACAAAATTAGATCACCCTCAAGTTCTATTACTATATATATAGATTTTCAAAGATCAGAAATTAGGAGAGGCATACATTTTCCAAAACACAAGTGTACTCCGGCCAGCGACATATGATGACATCATAGTTGTTCAAAGTTTCATTGAGGCGATCATACATGTCATCAATAAAGGGGGTCGTCAGATGTTGTGTCGTAACCCCGGACCATTTAACCTGCAAGTTAATAACATTAATTTAGCATCAAGGTCATTGATATGATGTGGAAACTTCGGCAAAGATTCAGGTTATCATTAGGCAAAGTTTATTTATATAAGCAGTATAAAGAAAGCTGATAAAGGATAAGTTTTAGAGCATTTCATGTGTGCAAGCATATGTGATGGACACAGAGACTGCACACGCTCAGGCACGCATCTATATAATGTACCTTGTCTAATTTACAAGACTCTAACAGGGAGAGGCGTTTATCCTGTATCCAGAGGATGATATACAAATGGAATAATTCTTTTGCATCAACCCCTCCTTTAACTGGCCTGAGAAACAAGGGTTCTGTCATATACAACAATAATTGTGCAACAGAATCAGTAACAAAGACATGAGAATGGAAGTACTTGATATTCCAGGTGGTGAGATCCTTTTGAAAGTCTGCAGTTGCAACAAGAAGTTCTGTAACATATGATGCAGGGCCAGGTGGAGGGCATGCAACAAGGAAGGCACGTAACCTACTGCAAAGTTCTGTACTGTAAACAGCCGAGGAAAGGTTTGGCAGGTCTATAAAACTGCAAAGAACAAAGGCATACCAGCACATTAAAATTAAGAATATGAGAACAAAATATGCTCGCAAATATTTAGGTAGATAAGGAAAGTGAATAGTTTGGCCATTTGTATGATAAGAGGGGGTGCATGTCAGAGCCACACATCCCATTAGTGTGCGTAAAGAACATATATATACATATAGAGAAAGAAGCCCACTAATTATTATTACTTTACCAGAAAATTTTGCTTTTCACTGATGCACTAGACCTTTCACTCAAGCCAGACTTCTTAAAGTAATATTATTGACATTGGTTAGTAGACAATATAGGGTCTGCAGCTGTAGCTGTACCAAGTACCTATAATGCAAATAAAGAGACAAATACTAGGAAATGAAGAAGAGAGTATAAAAGAGTATGGTGCCAATATTAATTATACAAGTCTTACTTTGTAATGGCTTTATTGTATTTTTATGTTATTCTTTCATTTTCTTACCGCCGTTGTTTGGATTTGTTTATAAAGTTGCTCATATTATAAAGTGATAGAATTTAGTGGTGGATAAGTGAGTGGGATCCTACGACGTGTGTGAAGAAAATTAGTATTTGACTTTGATGTTCAAAATTATAATGAACTTATAATCAAATCCAAACATACACTTAAAATAATGCCTAGGAGACACTAGTTGACTAGGCAATGGACCATGATTATCACCCACGCATCATCTGAGCGTTTTAAGAACTATAGATTAATGTGCCGATGCTGAGAAATTCAACATGTTTGTACTTAACAAAGTCCCACACATGCAAAAGGGAAGCAAACATCATCATCACATATGACAAAATGACTTTCAACCCTAAATTCTTCTGCAAATAATCATGATCTGAGTATGATGCGAGTTCCTTTATCTACCTTATTTTAACTTATGGCACATTTTTCCGGTGATTGACACATTACAAATTTAATTGGCTGAGTTTGATTCTTTTTGTTGAAATTTTAAATTGCATCTATGTAATGAAGAACATTAATTTCAAACATATAAATAATTTAATTGAATATAACCACTTTGTAAAGTTGTGTATATTTAAAATACAAGAAATATTTTGATAAAACATACCTGGGAAGGATATTCTGGTTGTGGATCTCTATATCTGTGAAAATTTCATTTCTGATATTCGAGCAATTAGATTTCATTTTCTGATAAGCAGTGGAAACAGTAACAGCATCCATCAACATGCTGTCATTACTGCCACTAACATATTCATCTGTCTCGCTCAAGTGTTTTCGTGCTCTTTTCTTTGCAGCAGCCTGTAAAGGAAAATTATCGATAAATGATTAAATAATTAAAATTGATTTCATAAATATGCCAATTCTTGCACCTGGAAGTAACTATATAGTTTCGTCTGTGCCTCAGGAGCTAATATATCATGAAGAAGCGAATATAGTTTAACAGCAGGCTCTAGCACTGGTGCTGCAACTCCAGTAGCAGGCATGAAAACATCCAGAATCCCTGATGATGATGACTCATCCAAGGACTTATAGTTTTCAAAAACAAGAGAGAAGATTGGTTCAATTTGGTCTTCAATATCCTTCAGAATTCGGTTCTGAAACAAAATGGGATTCAGTTTAAACACCAACATTCAGCTTAAACACCGACATTTGTTTCTATGCTCACCTCTTGATGACTTAGTGCACTCTTAGAGTGGCCCTTCATCACTACAGGCAACAATAAATCATATACCAGTTTAAGACAGTAAGATGTTGGTGTCACCACATCCATCACATAAGAAAGGTACCTGGAACAATTCAATGTTCAAGAGATAATGAACCTAACAGTCACATGGATAAAAATGATAAAAGGCAATATAAATGGCACAACTTAATTATTCTAGCATGGAAACAAAATAATAACACTATAAGCATCTGTTTACCTCAGCTTGGTGTATGCAGGAGAAACCCCATAATATGATGCAAACTCAGCGAGTAACCACTTCCATGGGCCATGCAGCAACAAATTTCTTTGGTGGAAATCCTGTATTTTCATTGCAACCTCCAATACTAGATCATATGCCACAGTTTCTGCAATGGAGCCGCACTATTAAAAGAACACAAAATGTCAAATATCAAATTCAAGACCACCAAGACAGTAGTACATCAGATTCTCATGCAGAAATATTTAAAAATTCACAGGAGAGAACATTCAAAATATATAGCTAGGTCCAAGAAAAAGAGAAACAAATACCAAATAGATGAGAAGGATAAAAGCATTTTAAATTACTAAACAGAAGATCGATAGCATAAAAGATGAATAAACTTTAGTCTAGGAATAGGTAAGAGAATATAATTTGCGAGTCTTTCAGTAAAGAGTTGACAGTTTAAAAGTTAGATACTCTTATAAC